AAATCTGTACTTCGTGGTGGTCATTCAGACATTGCTGGGAGTTTTGTCAGCGCCGATGAGGTCAACGTGACAGCTTGAAATGATGCTCAAACATCTTGAAACGATGCTTAGACAAATTGAATTGCAAAAGCTATAGTTCTCTCTCTCACAACAAGCCCATTCACACCACACCCCTACCCACTTCAATATGTCAGTTTATACCTGAAAGACGGGTAATGTGTTTCCCAGTCGGAGATTGGTCATGTTGGGCATCCATTCACCTAGGGCGTCCACACTTTCCCATCGATTGATCAAGGTCTCGGACAATCCTAGGGTGTGCAAACTACCAAAAAGACGACTCGGCCGAGTGAGCCCGTTCGGAGAAGCTGAACCGGCTGACGTGACCGATTGTGTTGCACTGGTCAATTTTCCGGTCAATGGGGTCGGTTTGATGGGACCCAGATTCACCGCGGGCAACGACGCACCGACCTCGTCAACCGGTTTCACCCCGGTCACTGTCTCTTTGGCCGGCAATGGAGCTGGGATGTGGGATAACGGATTGCCCAACAGAACCAAATGTTCCAGTCCCGGGAACAAACGACCCAGACGACACACGGTCCACCAACTGGTGATCCCGTTATCGCTGTAGTACAATGTGTGCAGACGTGGATAGATTGGGGTTTGATTATGCCAATCAAACGAATCCCCCGAGCCGTCCAACCGATCCTCCTCGGCCCCGTAATTGTTCAGAGCCACGTGCAAGGTGCCCAGACTGATCCGAAGTAGGGATAAGGGATTAAGGGGAGCGGGGAGGGGTCAATTTTGACGAACATACTTTTACTGCTCGCATTGTGCTTCTGGAATTGTAATCTAACAACAACCAAGTCTGAATGACAAACAAATAGAGATGAGTAATTTCTAGTATGTCCCACAGAAATGAAACAATCATAGTGTTTCCTATTGGCCTACTACTTTGGTCAAGCTGTTTGATTTGTTCGAAAAACTTCTCACCCTTTACTAGTCCGATGAAATCATCAGTGCTTGTAATTGTGACAGTGCTCTGTTTGCATTCCTTCACTTAAATCGATTCCTCTTCACAAATTCTGTTCGTTGCAAAAAACTGACCAGTTTGGAGAACACAAACACAGACGAAATCAGTCCATTCGAGGGAAAACCGAGAACACTGCGATGTTTCAAATCTCGAGTGATACTGATTTTGTTTACGGTCACTAAGTGCGTTGAAAAATACCCAGCCACCACCATTGTAGAGAGATTGTTCCATTGACATTAGAGAATAGAGCAACAAAACGAGACTTATCCATATGGAGAAACCGGTGAAGGGATCCACGGAATAGATAAGAGTCAACAAAATCTGGATAGAAGGAGCGTTCAGTGAGCGTTCAATTTAACCAAAAAAAATAAACAAGAGCTCAGAAAGTTCTCGTTCATTTCTTCAGGAAATTGTCCATTTTTCCTTCGTTTACAGTCTGTCAATTTCAGGTCCCAATCAAATTTTGGATCGGTTGATTTACTGCCGATGGCAGTCAATTAACTTTTATCAAGTTGCATGATAATCCTCTAGTTTCAAACCGTGCGAAACACGTTTATTGGATGTGCATTGTGTGAAGCTGATCTACCCCCTCAAGTAAGAGTTAATCAATCAAATGTAAAGTAAGTTACTGCAGTGGCAATCTGATCACCGACAAAATTAGTTGAATTGTATTGAAATTCAAACGGAACATTAAAAATTTTCACACATATATATCATGGCAAGCAAAATCCACTATCCCGTATACAGGTATCCGTCATGAACGCTATGCCTCGAAGCCGTTGGTATGTTTGGTCTTGTACTATATTGTTTTGTATGGTGCATGGCTTTTGCAAGCATTGAAGCTCACAAATACCGTAAACACACACAGTCACAGAGTACATATTCAATAGTGAGAGAATTTTTACGGACATGGAGACATTTGGTAATCCAAGGTTAAGACAACGTTCACTTATTGTCCGCTCTTCGTTTATGAGTATACGAGCAAGATACGGTATGGATGAATTGCGGTAAGCGATGATCCGAGATGAAATTTGGCGGAAATGGGAGCGTGTGGAGGGATGGGAACGACAACGTGCCAGTTTTGCGTG